TATTACCACAATATTCTATTTAAAGGCTATTGTAGTTTGTCTATAAATCATTGTCAGTTGGTAAATTTTGAGGAGCATTTAGAAATCCACTATAGCCATTTCATCTGCACCTATATTTTTAGGCACTCAGGTGTAAGCATGAAAATTGTTAGTGCAACAAGAATTGTAGGTGTAGCCTCAAAATCAAATTATAAGCTTTTCTTAAATTTTAGCATACACATCATGGTTGAAAGATCCACTTGGTATTGATATTTTAAATTTTATAAGTATGATAGAACTAATTTTTTTTGTAATAGCTAGTCACTGTTTCAACAAACATATATGAGAATACTAGTGAAAGGGAATAAAGCAACAGAGGCATAAGTCAGGGACCTTTGCCAAGTGTACACACACACACCTATATATGAAGTAAAACAAAAATAATATACAAATTAGACTGTATAATTAGATTTCATAGGAATTCAGAAAATAAGAGTATTTTTGGTTACAAAGTAACTTAAATCTAAGTTGGCTATATTCTCAATTTTGAATTAGAACTTATGTATTAGTCTCAAGTCAGACTTGTGGCTGCCCTGACTGTTCAGTCCTTATTCTTTCATACACCTGTTCTTCTTCGTCATCAGTAGTGTCTACTTTGGTGTCCTTGATATTCATTATTTTTATTATACAGAGATTTCTATTTGTCAGATAAAACTTCCCCTTCCTTTTCCTTTTCTTTGGTGTTTTTGAAGTTTATGGATTTAGGCATATATAAAGGCAAGTGACTATGTAACTGTTTTTCCCAAATGCCATCTTAACATCACATAGATAATAGTGTACACCAGAGCCTCTGCACCCAGTCTCCTTTCCTTTCCCCACTTTACCTTCTCCTTTCACTGTTCTCTGTTCAACCCAGCCCACTCCCAGTCCATCAGACATCTTCCTATGATAGAACATGCCTACAGACTTCTCCTTTATGTTTCCTGCCATCTGGAACAGCTTTTTCTGCTTCATCCACTGTGTTGCTCCAAATCTTAGGGGAATATGTTCTAAAATTGTTTTTCTCCTTTAATCTTTGTAATTGTACTGTTAAACTCATGAAACGATAATTAAAAAAAAGATATAAACCCCATGAAGATGTGTATTTCTTGTGCAAATTAAGACTTATAAAAATATAAACTAGAATTATCTAACTTGGAGAAAAAAAGACTGAGTGAATTACTAACATTTAAACACATAAGGGATAATATGATTGTTGAGGACCAGATAAAATTTGTTACACATTAAAGGGAAACATGCTCTAATGTAAGTAAAAAATTCCTCAGAGAGGTATAACAGACAATTGTTAACTTTAAATAACAAAAAATTGTTAAATAATGGGGAATGGCTCACTTAGATTGGTTATCCCTATTCTTTTTGTAGTCGTCAAATAGTATATCTGCTCATGTGCTTCAAACCTGATAAATATTCATGCTTTATGAAGGAAGAAGGATGTGTGTGTGTGTGTGTGTGTGTGTGTGTGTAAGAGAGAGAGAAAGTCAGATAAGCATGAACAGAAACATACAGTATTGGGGAGCAAGCCACAGGGAGGAGTGTAACTTGTTAAATAAGATCCTTGACAGTTTTCTGTTCTTGGGGCAGATGAGTATTTTTTTTAAAAGGTATTTTTGAGAGAAGAGTGTTTTCTACTTTTACATTTCTGCATTTCATAGAATGAAGCTTTTACTATAGAAGAAACATAACATCAAAACAAAAACAAGATTTAACATGAAATTTTCAAAGTTGTATTTGTAGAAATTTTTCGAGTTATGTGTTATTCACCATACAAGTGGAGACTAATCAAATTTCATAAATGTATAATTTTTGTACTTATAAATACCATCTCATCTTGTTCCAGAAATAATTGAAATGACAGCATTTGATTATTTTATTGAAACAATATTTTACAAGATCAATACAAAATTCTGTTAAATGTTTATTTTGTTTCATGTGATGCCAAGTGAAAAGTGATGAATTTCACATAAACTTTTGTTTTAAGAAAAGTTTCTATTTGTCCTAGAGAGACTATATCATATAAAAACATTAGCTCTTGGCTTTCCAGACTTTTACTATTATTTGTTAACCTTGTTATTTAAACTGCATGGAGATCTTTTTAAAGGGACATTTTATTTTTGGAGCTCATAAACATGTTAAAATAAACAAACAGGAAAGGATATAGATAGAATCTGAACTATCCTTATATGCAAAAGAGCTGAAAAAAACTGCAAGAGTCATTGCTTTGGGAACTAAAATCTAGAACTTCTAAAGAAGACTTTTCTTTCTATTTGACATGTACAGACTTTGTGGGTACACAAGGACAATAAACAACTTAATGAATCTTATAATTAACTGTCAATGCTAGAATTAAGAAATTTTTGTTTAAGGAAATTAAAAAGGCTATTTGGAGTATTTGCTACATTTAAAGGACTTACTAAACTTCAATTTAATATCTACTGTTAAATATAAATAGTTTATTTGGTTGAAGAGAAGTTTTAATTTTTGGCAGGTAATGTATATATTCTTAGACAATAGTTCAAAGGGATGGTTACAACAATCTTCAAATTGGACATTTGAAAAAGAAACTGTGACACTGTCAAAAGTTAATCAAAATGATAGGAACATCATGTTTAGAAAACTTAGAGGGGGATTTTCCAAAAATTTTTTAAGGAGCTAAGTACTAGTAGCATACTTAGGTGAAAGCTTTTCTGGCTTCTAAATGAAAAGAATATATGAGATAATCATGCTAGTTTTCTATGTTTATATAACACACACAAGATATATATGGCATACTTTACCCAGAGTAATATGATATTCCATGTCATAATTTGGTTTATTTTCAATCACAAGGACGAAACATCTATTAGTAAGAATCATACATTTCAAGCTTTCAAAACCAGAAAATCCTACTATAATTTTTAGTTTCTAAAATCTATTTATTTCAAGAACTTCATGATCATGTAAAATATTACAATTATTTGAAGAATACTTTTTAAAAAGTTAAGTTAAAATAGCATCGGTCTTAGAAATAAATACAATTGCAAAAAGGCATACAAAATGTCCTATCTTTTCAGTCTATCTTTTCAAGCCTAACCACCTAGAAGCAGGCTACTTTACCTATAATAGAATAGAATTAAGTGTCTTTCAAGATGCGTATTTTCAGTATTTGAGAATAGCCATATTAAAAAAAAATAACAGTTATTCTGATGACCAGGTTGCAATAAGGTAAGTCATGGTAACCTTCCATTTTTATTTTAAGATTGAGTTACAAAAGGCAATTTTACATCCTATTATTCCAAAGGGTTTGAGGCTTTATTTCTTCTTCCTTACATGTATGATGATTTCTGGATGTTTTAGTATAGGGCATCACACCGGTGCAGCACACTTGGGCTTACAGTGCAGCCCAAGGCATTTGCAGCAAGTATTTCCCACTAGGAATGTAAGTAGCTAGGAGGTTACAAGGCTCTAGGAAACAATCTAGAAAACCACAATACAGCTTGTTGGTCCTTTCCCCACAAATAACCTTTTTAAACCAGACACATAAAATGCAGTTTATTATCTAAAAAATTTAAGAAGAATCTTTTGTTAAATGTTAACAAAAGAACGACTATCCAAATTCCGTTTAAAATGCAATCCTTAAAAAAAAATTGAACTCTCAAGTCTTTTTGGAAAGTGCTTAAATCATCTGGAGATAAATATCATTTGGTCTCCTTGTTTTCTAACAAATGGCTTTTTCCATTGTTTCCATTAATTTCACCCGTATTCGTTTTTTTAAAAAACAAGGCCCTTATCCTCATCAGCAAAGCACAGATGTATGATTTAGCATATAAAACCGGTAATTACATACTAATTTACAAAAGATTATTTTTTTCTCTTTTTGTCAGTTTTCAAGAAGTCTTCCCATGATTAACTGTAAACAGGAATGGTTTACACCTCAAATTAGAAGCCATTAATTAGCATGACGAAGTCAACTGCAAGACACACAGATTATTTAAATTATTTAATCACTATTCACTTTGGCTAAACTATAGTATACTCTTTCAATATCCTTCGGTAGGTTATCGATCTGTTACTAAATTACCTCCAGACAGAGAGATAAATATTAGCGTCCTTTCCTTTCCCTCAGGTTTACATTCTCCCTTCTCGTAAACACCTAAAAAAGCTTTAAGGTTCTCTAATTCCAAATCCCTAATTAGCCATCAGTAGCCTTTTGGAAATAAGGAAAAAGAGTATCTGAAGTACAAATCAAGAGTTCGCTTTGCTCGTTTAACAATAAAAAACATTAAAAAAAAAAAAAAACGTACGCCAAAAGCAATGGCAGTAATAAAAGAAATATGCAGAGGTGGCTTCAGCAAATAACGGGTTTGCAAAACGCAAGTGCTTAACAAAAAGCAGCCCAAACCTCTATTGCAATATACAGCACTCCAATAAATTACACAACACTTGCATAGGCTGCAGAAATAACGCAGTACAAGACTTACACAGATGCCAATCCGCAGCATTTATACACATGCACATGGCAAGAGACAGAAACCAAACACTATCATTCAACTCGGGCAGGGTAGCGCGATCCCGAGTTTGCCCAGCGTGAGAGTGCTCTCTGCGTGTGTGTCTGTGTATGCGGGTGAGTGAAACCCATCCTCGGGGCATTTCCCCTCTTTGGGCAGTTCTGCTTCATTTGTTTCCTATTTCTGCTACACAGAAACTAACTTCCATCTCAGCTCCAGCCAGCGCCGCTGAATAGAGCCTGTGCTGCGGCACCGTGTGCGTCAGATCCCTCCGCGGACCCGTCCCCGGCCCCCTCCCTGCCACTATCGGCCTCCACAGAGAAAGCGCCTTCCAGCCAACCGGCGGCTCGGGCTCCGACATCTTCTCCTACTGGAAATAAATAAATAAATCGCACGCCCTGCGGGGAGGAGCGCGTGGGGGTCGCGCCGTGCCGGGTGTAGAGCGCTGGGGGCGAGGGGGTCGGAGGCACTCCTTTTTTAGAGCCGGGGGGCGGGGGCGCGGGACGTAGCCCGGGCCGAGCCCGGGGCCGCGAAGGCGGCGGACTCCTTTCTGTGGCGGAGGGATCCTCGGCGGAGGCGACCACGGCCGTAGCCGCTGCCTGAGAGTTGTTGTTTCCTCCTCCTCCTCCTCCGCCTCCGCCGCCGTTGCTTGAATGGTGGAGCCTAGGCTCGGCTCGTGAACACACACTGACAGCTATAGGGCAGGCGGCGGCACCGTCCCCGCTTCCCCTCGGTGGCGGGGTGTCCCGTCGGCGGCCCTGAAGTGACCCATAAAAATGTCTTGTGAGAGGAAAGGCCTCTCGGAGCTGCGATCCGGTAAGTCGGGGGACTGCCGGGGCCGCTGGCACCGGGCGATTCCGCCCGCGGTCCCCCGCCCCCCGCCGCCCGGCCGCTCAGCTAGTGTGTCTCCCTGTCCCTCTCTCCCGCGCAGAGCTCTACTTCCTCATCGCCCGGTTCCTGGAAGATGGACCCTGTCAGCAGGCGGCTCAGGTACGGCGGCGCGCGGCGCGGGCCGGGCCGGCGCTTGCCGCTTGCGGGCGTGGGGGAGGGAGGCGGCGGTGGCGGGGCCGCGGCCCGGGGCGCGGGGCTCAGTTCTCCTCGCTTTGTTGTTGCAGGTGCTGATCCGCGAGGTGGCCGAGAAGGAGGTAAGGGCGGCGGCGGCCCGGCGCGTCCCGCCGCCGCGCGGCCGCCCCTGGGCCGCTGCGCCGCCGCCGCCGTCGCCGCCACCAGGGCGCGGGGCGCGGGGCTCGGGGTCCCCGCCGGGGCGCGGGGCGGGCGGGGAGGGGAGCGGGCGGGCAGGGGCCGGGGGCCTGGCTCACGGGGCGTCCTCTCCCCGCAGCTGCTGCCCCGGCGCACCGACTGGACCGGGAAGGAGCATCCCAGGACCTACCAGAATCTGGTGAGACATTCACGTCGCAGAGCAAAGAAACTTTTCCCTGAGTCGAATAAAAATTGAATTTCCCGCAATTTTTTACAGAGACAAAAACTTGGCCCTAGAACGTGAAAGCTCCAAAGGCCACAGGGAGGGTTGGGAGGCCGGCGCGGGGGCTGCGGGGCCAGTGGCCGGGGGTACTCGTACCCCGGGGCCGCAGGGGCTGCGGACAATTTATTTGTGATATTTTGTTAATGTGCTAGAAATAAAGATACGTCATGAGTGTTGTGCAGTGCAAGGCCGGAGGAGGAGGGGCCGGCGCGCGCGTCCGTGCCGTCGCGGGGGCGCGCGAGAGTCGGCGGCGGCGGGAGCGGCGCGAAGAGGGAGAGCGCGCTCGCTCGTTCGCTCGCTGGCTCTGCACGCGCGGCCGGCTCTGCTTTCTCCTGCCCTACACAATAGCTGGTGACTAACTGCTCCGAAGTGGCATTAGCATTTCGCAAGCAGGCTATCCAGCCGCTGCGGAACCGTGGCAAGAAATTTTTCCTCCTCTATCGTTATTTTGTTTTCCTTAAATTCAGTCCTAGGTTTTTTTTGTTGGAAGGGTTATGATGTGTGATTATAGTTGGTCAGTGGTTCGTCTTGCATTTACTAAAACACATCTTTGCAGAAGTGTAAAGCCTGTAATTCCCTAGAACCAGAAGTTCAGTAGGCGTTTTCTAATTCTTACGGTATGCCTCTCGTTTAATTAAAAACTATTATTGGAGTATACTGAAGAATTTTGATTTTTGTCCAGATATTTACTATGGGATGGAACTTGGCCAGTAAAAGTTGTTCTGTTTGTATTGTTTAAAAAGACGTTTTTCTTAATTTTGTGGGTTGTCACAGTGAGTATCTTAGGAATTTTTAAAAATTGCTTTTCAGAAGTAGACCTATCACATTAGTATTGTGATTGGAAGTTACTTTAAAGGAGCTATATTTTCTGTAACGTTTTCTCCTAAACTGATGTAGGTTCCTTGTGTGAATATGTGTGTTGGGCAGTTAAAGCAGTCACACCGGGAACACCAAGCTTTGAAAATTTATGCAGTGCATTGATTTTGAGAGGCTTTTTTAAAACTGTTTTGAGATAGTTACAATTACTGATATTACTTCATGAGAACAACCCTAATGACTAGGAAGTTTCAGCCTGCTAAGAATGAATGTCTTTTGTGAGGTGAAGGCAGGACAATTAAAATGGTTTTTGTTTCTTTTTGTATGTTGTAGTATGTTTCCTAACTTGCGTATGAATCTCTTGTGATTTAATATAAGTTGTTACAGCTGTTGAAATAAGCAAGGGTACTGAGGCCGAATACATTGAATGTGGATTTAACGGTGTATTCATTTTCACCATCAAAATGTATTAGTTTTCAAGTAGTGATTTGGCTTACTTAACATTCATTTCTTGGCTGAAGTGAATGGAGCTGGAAGTAAACTTCAAGATTTACTAATGATAATGTTTGAAATGAATTTTTAGGTTTATAAATATTTGATAGAAGTCTTCAATGAGTTTACATGTCTTTGGCTATTTGAAAAAATTATCACAAAGATTATAATACCCCATTTTTAAGATGGGGCAGGTTTTACAAAACTCATCCTTGTATCTGCTTTTACATCTGTGCATCTGTTTTAAAACTCACAAAACTAAGTCACTGAGGATTGCTGCGTTTTCTTGAAATCTTTTGGTAATGTTATTTTTTAAAAATGAAGCAGCTTAAAGGTATCTGGCCAAATTATGGTAATGTCTAATCCTTGCAGGAATATCATTTTGTTTTCTTCAGTATAAATGAGTTACCAATTTTGATTTTGAGTTAATTTAATTTTTAGGGAGAGGAGGGGAGGAAATGTTAGTAAAGTGAATTTCTATTCCTAGTCTGCACCTCAGATTTAAGATAGAATAAGCATTGTCTTTATCTGTGCGTTATTCTTAAAATCCACCTATTTTGAATGGAGGCGTTTTTTCTTGCTTGGAGTTTTCTACTTTCTAGAACAGCGATGTTGGCATACTCGTGAGACAGTTTAAAATTCTTATTAGAACTTGGAGTTTTTTGACTCATTGTTTCTTTTCATTTAACATATTGCTTATTCTGTGTCTTCTGCTGGATGCAAGATACCATTTGAGGTGGTTTCTTATCCATCAAACTGTGTATCTAGGTGTGTGAGTTAACTTTATTTCATCTTTTAGTTGAGATTTAGTCAGGTCTAAAAACATTTGTAACACTGGGTTTCTGAGTGGATTATTTTTGTTCAGTAGTAGATCTTGCTGTTTTATATCTGAGTCAGCATGTGCAAAGTCTCTTGTACAGTATTTTCTATTATCTAATTCTTATAACTTCAAGTTTTACATTGTATTTCAAGTTGAATTTATTTAAAATTGGTTTAAAAATTACTTGGGGAGTAACACTGTCGTTCCATTTACATTAACTGATAAATTGAGCCATATTTTAAATGGGAGAACTCATATATCACATCACACTGAAATATCTAGAAAACTTCAAATTGCAGCTATTTGAAATGGGGTGTAATATTTTTACATGTAAATTTAAAAATAGACACTGATCATCTGTAGTCAGTCTAGTTATAATCGCCGTGGTTGAATTTTGGTCAAGAGGAAAGTCAAAGTTTAAGAGCAGTTTTAAAAGTTTTTCAGGTTAAAATTGATGCATTCAAGTGTGATTGAAAAAGAACATGTGCGTATCTTATGGTTGTTTCTGTCTTTTGTATAAAACATGACTGATTATCACATCTACCTTATAACATTTTTATCAAAATGAATGGAATTGTATAGGAAGCTAAAAAATTTTTTGTGCTATGGTATATGTTTGATTAGATTTTACATTTTTTTAAAATATGAGATTTATTTTAAAGAAAAGGGATACTTTCAAGTATCAAAATTCTTAAACTGTAGAATAAGAAAAAAACTTTTTTTTGACAAAAGGAAAGCTTTGTTATTGTTAGTTTGAATAGTGTATGTAGTTGGTTTATTAAGTCTGCTTTCTAGTTGTCACTTAACGATGGTTGCTTATTTATGAGATCTTGAAGCAGAAATTTCAATCATTTTTTCAGATTTGGGACTCTGTTGATTAAATTTTTTCTTGTAAGACTTCTCCCCCCCACCTAGTTCATGTTTTGCTAAAATGATATAATTTTTGTCTTTAAAAATAGTGATACTTGCCTTTCTTAAAATTATTCCACCTTATTAGACATCTTTTTTTGTTGTTTTTAAGTGAAACCATTGGGAGTCAAGAGATGTGGATTATAGTTTTAAGCCCTGTTGACAGTTAACCTGTTGGTAACAGGTTAACTTGGGCAAGTCATGGAATTTCTCTTTGTCCCAGTTATTTTATTTGAAAAATAAGTATATTGAAATTTTTTCAATCTGAAAATCTGTGATTTTGAACTACAAATAGCAGTACATTTTATTTCAGAACTAAACTTTATTTCATTCTTAGAGCTTAATTTTCCAAAACAGAAGAGTAGAAATCACATAGGTTACACAATTATATAAATGCTTTTCATAGTGCTGTTCACTGGTGGTGATATCATTTCTTGTTGAAAAGGTGATTTGAGACACTAACTACCTTGTAAAATGCCCCCAAATTACTATGTTTTTCATCATAGTTTAAGTACTAGTTTTCATAAATTCTTGGTGGTCTCAAATTAAGAGATGAATAGGAACCATGGATAGGATTTATTTAAGTATGTATCTTAGATACACATTTATTTAGTGTGTGCTGATTCATGTGAAAATTAAGATATAAAACCTAGAGACAACTTTCAGGAAAAAAAAAAGAGATAACCTTATTGAATCTTTAAGAATTAGGGATTCCCATTCTACATTGAAGGTAACAGTACTTTCAAGACTTTATTATTATTATTTTGGTGGGTTGGAGGAGCATGTAATGAAGTAAATGACCTTAGTAGAGTTATTATTGCCTTTTTAAATATAGAGTATCAATGAAATATAAACTTTGTGTGGTAGTCTCTAAAACAGCTTTAATCTCTCATGGTCATTATAATGATGAATAAAATATGTTAGGTGTGAAGGGTTATATGATGAATAAAGTGTTAGGTGTGATTATGTTGCTGAGAGGCTGAAGGAGCATTCTTCATTATTTCTTACATATAGAATTATTCTGTTGGTACTTATACCATTTTTTAAAATTTGAGACGTTTAAAAACTTTTTAAAATGTAATACTTACTAGATTCTTAATATTCTTAATGGTAAAGTGGCATGAACATAAAGTAGGAGCTGAGTTTCCCCTTCCCAATCACATAAAAATCTATGATGGTTTTTATGTGATTGTTGTGAGGCAGAGTATTATTGAGGGAGTCTGTTTTCCATTCTGTAAAATGGGCTAATAATAGCTTCTACTTTGTGTGGTCTGTGAGTAATAACAGGCATGAATCAATTACTATGTAAAGGTTTGGGTTTCCTATTATCAGAACTTTAGTAGTGGTAATAAAGGTTGTTCCAGTTAGAGCTTTATAATAAAGTTTTCTTTAAGGCAAATATTTATGGCCGCAGGTGGTGGCTCACGCCTGTAATCCCAGCACTTTGGGGGGCCGAGGTGGGCGAATGATGAGGTCAAGAGATCGAAACCATCTTGGCCAGCATGGTGAAACCCTGTCTCTACTAAAATACAAAAATTAACTGGGTGTGGTGGTGCACGCCTGCAGTCCTAGCTACTCGGGAGGCTGAGACAGGAGAATTGCTTGAACCCGGGAGGCAGAGGTTACTGTGAGGGAGATCGTGCCACTGCACTCCGGCCTCATGCCTGCCAAAAGAGTGAGACTCTGTCTCAAAAAAAAAGAACATTTACATTTTTATTTCAGACATAAGTATGTATGTATCACTTTCTGAACATAGAATCTGCAGTATAAAAAGGCCACATTAAGATTTGAGAAGAGTCTGAGTGCAGTGGATCACGCCTGTAATCTCAGTACTTTGGGAGGTGAAGGTGGGTGGATCGCTTGAGCCCATGAGTTGCAG